TAATTCGATGTTGTCGTTTGTTGCTGTGTTACATATTTGTTTTTTTGTTAATTATTTTGTACATAAATTAGGCCATTAGTTTTCCGGTTTGAATTGTTTTACATTTGTCATTTCGAGGCCTTTGATATCTGACTACGTGGTATGGGCTTTGCTCATTGTTGAAGGCCGTACGGTGACCTATAGTTGATAATTTCTGTGTTATTTGGTCTCTTGTGGAGAGCTGTCACATTGGCAATCATACCACATCTTCTTTTTTATAAACCCTGTTCTATATATACCATGTGGTCATTGTTAGTTCACATTCGGGGTCAATTTAGATGATGTCATAATCGAGAAAATGAGGACGAGGTTATGGCTATGACATTTGGAACTGACCTGTGGTCATCTGATGACGGATAACACACTTTCAGTCTGGATGGCGTCCTTAAACCATTCGAATGAATGACTTTAACTAATCATACCATTGCTTTCCTAAACAGCAGTATTTTTTTGCAAAGCTTCTATTCCCCCTTTGGTATTGTTAGCATCTTGTGGTATCTTCAGATTTTATTTTCATCTGTATGCATTGTAACACAATTGAGTTATTATTTATATTGATGTGTTTGAGATTATTTTTGTTATCTACAGTTGACTACAATCCAAAATGCTACTGGTTTACACTATGAGCTCTCACTGAAAGAAATGCAGCATTGTATTACTAAACCTGGCATAGCAAATTACAACCTTTATATATTAGAATGTTAACAAGCTATCTAACCACATCTCCTTTTTTCATATAAAAGAAAATTTGTTCTAGGACATTGATGAATTGATCTACACAAGGTAATGTTTTACAAAAATGCACATCCATGGATCAGGTTTTATATTTAACCTTATCACCTAGTAGTTGATTTTGCTTTATCTGAAAACTGTTCGGTATTTATATAAATTTTATTGCGGGTATGTAATGTAAACTTACATTTAACTCAACTCAGTATTTATATAGATAAGCAAAAGTACATACTAGATACATACAACTTCGACTAGATTTAATATAAGATAAACAATACGCAGTCAATTACAGAAACAAAAAAACAAATGAGGCTTAGAAACTTAAAAAAGGCGAGCTTAACAGGCTTATTTCACTCATTTTCCTATTACAAAACATTTCTATTTTTCTGACATTGATCTGATATTGAGTTAAACTGTTGCTAACGTCAAAAGTTTTTAAAACGGTAACACAAAAATCAACATATTTTCAATTCACACATGAGGCCACGACTGTTACGAAAAGTGACGTTACATGAAATTTACATTGTAAACAATTATCACTCTGTTCTAGCTGCAGTATAAAAAACATATGCATATATATTTCAAATGAATGTATTTAAATGTGTATATAAAACATAATAATCTCAAATTTTTTTTTCAAAATTCAACCTTAAAATGGTATAAATTTTGACGTAATAATCAACGGCCAATAAAGGGTGTATCAAATAATCATTATCAATCTATAAAACTAGTATGAAAATGTTAAACAGATCCACATGACTATCAGTAGATTGCACGTTACTATGTTATAATGAAACATCAACTATAAAAGTCACGTCGATGCAGAAAACATGCTTTTTATAATGGGATAACTATCTTGACAAGAGATGTGAGCACAGAAGTATAAAGTCTAAGCTTTGCTTATCACTGCTGACGTACAGTTTAAAAAGGCCTCAACTCCTAGCATTGATTAATTTTAAGAAATAGAGAAAAATAAGTAGATGTGTTCGTGTTCCATTTATTGTAGTTTCATTCGTTTAAACGGGCAGTGCATTAGAATGAAATTAATTTCTCTTGGGTGTTTTCATCATATGTAGCATAGAGGGCGTTAGGTTTTCCCGCTTCAAAACTATTTTCGCGGTATTTTATTGCCTATGTAATCATTCAGCACGACACCGTCAATCTGAGCAGTCGAATTTTCTTGGTACGCTGCCTATCATGAATTTGACAATGGACCCGGATTCTCCAACATCACTTGAGGAATCTCCTGATGTTTCACAACAGGACATTTTCAGAGCTGTTAAACAACAAATAAAATTCCAACAGCAGCCCTTTCGAGAACCTCATCCCGGTTGGTATGCCGGTTTCCCGTTATATTCCAACATGGCCAGCACGAGCGGAAGTCAGCTTTGTTTCAGCAAGGAGCCTGCTATGGTTGTGGATCTAACCAACATTTGAGGAATAGATGCCCATTTAACCCGAAAGCAGTCGATAGGCCAAAAAAACGGAATTATTTCATATAAGATGAGTATTTAAATATTTCTATTTCAATCGAGTGCACACTTTCTTACACACGACAATTTTGAATATGAACAAGGTCAGTCTAAAATTATCGTCAGAGGTAGATTAAAGAGACATATTGATTTTTGGTATCACATTGGTTGTTATGATTTTCATTACTGATACCATTTTACACGCATATAAAATACATTTTTATACTACACGGCTTTCCGTTTGTTTACAAAACAATTGTTCTGCTATTACACACAGTGATTTTGTTTTTAGAAGCTATTGAAGATCTTTTGATTAGAGGACTTATTATTGTATGTACTGATGATAAACTTATGGTTGTAAATTCACTTGCTATCTCTGTTCAAAACAATGGTAATAGAAAGTTTTAATTTTAGATATACGTCATGTCAATTTACATCTTCAAATTGGTTGAAGCAAAGAACGTTAGAAAAGTAAAAACCAATTTCAGACGTACGTACGGACGTGCATGTACTTACAAACGGACAAGGGTGAACTTTAATAGCCTCCCTTTGTTGTGACGGGGACATACAAAACAATTATGATAGAATGCAACCAAGGGCTAATACCGAAAATACTATCCTGACTTGGGACATGCATATACAGAAACTGGCGACGTATAACATGGTTGTGAGCGCTCAACCTTTCCCTGAGATAGGACAGTAATGTAACATCATAACATAAGAAAAAAATGTTAAAAGCTGTTGAACAGAATTCCTTTGTTTGAAATGTTGTTGATGTTTCCTTGTTGGTGTGTTACGCTCTAGCAGCTTTCGCACGATAAAATACAAAGGAGCAAAGATGGTTTAAAATGAGTTTGTACAACGTTCGTCTACTTGGGAAGGATGATTACTGATTAATGCCATCACATGCTCCTTTGTTTTACTCAGTCAACAATTATTTGCATTAATGTCCTGCTTAATTTATTCGACATTTGTTATGACTTTCAGCAATATTTAGCATGTTTAAAAGATGTGTAGCATTTGGTAAATTGTGTTGCTATGCAGTAGTCTTAGATGTATGATTTTTTTATAAGTTGTTATTGGCTTTAAACTAGCTGTCAGTAACTGTAAGTACTCTCAGATCTGTACAACAGTTAACCTCAAACCTTCTATCCCCCTTTGGTAGTGTTTTTGTTGTTTTTGGGATGTATAATTACCCTGTCATGTCTTCTTTGTATCGATCTGATGAGTTAAGCCATTTTCAACTGATTTTTATAGTTTGTTCTTATGTTGTACTGCTACACCAATGTCCCAGAATAAAGGTGGGGGGGGGGGGGCGCCTTTAAACTAGTTAAACCCCTCCACATACTGTATGTGCCTGTCTCAAGTCAGGAGCCTGTAATTCAGTGGTTGTCGTTTGTTACTGTATACCATATTTGTTTTCCGTTCATTATTTTGTACATAAATCAGGTCGTTAGTTTTCTCGTTTGAATGATTTTACATGTGTCATTTCGGGGCCTTTTATAGCTGACTATGCGGTGTGGGTTTTGCTCATTGTTGAAGACCGTACGGGTTTTGAGAATTTGAATGGTTTACAACCAATAGAAATTGTGTGAACGGATCTTATAATATAACACACAGGGAATAACTACTGAAGCAGGTATTGTTGACCCTTCAGTAACACGTGCATACAGCGTCAAGTATTGATTGGTTTGCATGCTAAATCTTTAGATTTCAGTGTAGTCTTTTGCTTACTGCTGTGTGTATTTTGTTTCTTTTTCAAGAAAGTAATTTTATTTTTCTCTGTTTGATAACTGATTTTTTATTCTCCCTGTGAAACCTCTTTCATTTTTGTAATTCATTCTGACAAAGTTTGATGACGTTGACTATTCTTGAAAAAACTCCATTGATTTATTTTCCAACAATTTCTGCATACAAGAAAGGTGGAAGATACCAAGGGACTTTTAAAAACTCATTAGTCGAAGAGAAACTGACAACGCCATGGCAAAGAAAACAAATAACGACGAAGAGACAAACGACAGATTCTAAAAAAATCTACACTTTAGGGATAAGGACTGAGCTACACGAACCACACAAAAACCAGGGTGATCTCGCTTGATCCGAAAAGGTAAAACATATCCTGCTGCATATGTGGCACCCGCCTCGTTGCTCATTATTTGTGCACATCCTTGGAAAAGTTTAATTCGACGATATGTCATAAACAACGAAATGAGGACGTGTTGTGGTTACGATAATGTGACGCAGAAGTTTCATAACGGAGAACTAAATATTGGTAGCGTCCTTTAAACATTCGAATGAATGACTTAACTAATCATAGCGATGCTTTCCGAAACAACAGCCATTTTTTGGTAAACCTTTTATCTATCCCCCTTTGGCATTGATTGCGTCTGGTGGTATCTTCAGATTTCATTTTCATTTGTATGAATTGAAGCAGAATTTATTTTATATTGATAGTGGTGTGTTGATTATTTTTTTTAATGTACCATTGACTTAAACCACAAAATTTCTATTGGTTGTTAATAATAGCTTTCACTGAAGTAAATGCAGCATGGTACTACTGAACCTTGCATAGCAAATTGCAACCTTTATATTTTAGAACGTTAACAAGCTATAACAGAACAGTTGTACTAGGACATCGGTGTGTTGATCTACACAAGGTCTTCTTTTTAAGAAAAGCACATCCTGCTCAGGTTTTATATGTAACCTTATCACCCAGTAGTTCATTTTGCTTTATCTGAAGAATCGAAACAACTTAACGATATTTATATAAATTTTATTACGTGTATATAATGTAAACTTACATTTAACTAAATTCAATATTTGTATGAATAAGCAAAAGTACATAGACATGATAGATACATACAACTTCGACTAGATTTAATATAAGATAAACAATATGCAGTCAATTACAAAAAACAAAAAAACAAATGAGGCTTAAAAACTTAAAAAAGGCCAAATTAAAAGGCTTATTTCACTCATTTGCCTGTTACAAAACATTTCTATTTTTCTGACATTGATCTGATATTGAGTTAAACTGTTGCTAACGTCGAAAGTCATTGAAACGGTAACACAAAAATCAACATATTTTCAACTCGCACATGAGGTCACGACTGTTAAGAAAAGTGACGTTACATGAAATTTACATTGTAAACAATTATCACTCTGTTCTAGCTGCAGTATAAAAAAACATATGCATATATATCTCAAATTTATTTACATGCGTTTATAAAACATAATGTTCTCAAAACTTTTTTTTCAAAATTCAACCTTAAAATGGTATAAATTTTGACGTAATAATCAACGGCCAATAAAGGGTGTATCAAATAATCATTATCAATCTATAAAACTAGTATGAAAATGTTAAACAGATCCACATGACTATCAGTAGATTGTACGTTACTATGTTATATTGAAACATCAACTATAAAGGTCACGTCGATGCAGAAAACATGCTTTTTATAATGGGATAACTATCTTGACAAGAGATGTGAGCATAGAAGGATAAAGTCTAAGCTTTGCTTATCACTGCTGACGTAAAGTTTAAAAAGACCTCAATTCCTAGCATTGATTAATTTCAAGAAATACAGAAAAATAAGTAGATGTGTTCGTGTTCTATTCACGTTTGAACATTGAGATAAAACAAAAGTATGTGTTATGCATTGATGTGTAACACGCAATTAAAACGTAAAGCTTATAACTTGATTTAATCGCAACTCAGAGAAGAGGTCATCGCTGTGATATTCGGAAAAAGTGGTATTTCATTTGTTATGGTAGGTGACCAAACTTTTAATAAAAAAAGTATTTCGTTTTCTATTTTTTGTCACAAAACCTGTTTAAAATCAGTAAAAAGGTATGACAAAATAAAAATAAAAACTTTAAGTCAGTGTCTTAGTTATATTGACCATCAGCGTACATAAACTCTTAGGCCTACGCAAATAATGCATAAGTCAATGTAGTTTTACAAATGTGTTTCTGTGAATGGACTTGATGTATTACCAAACCAATCAGATTTTAAATCGTTTTCTTCTGGTTATTTACGTTATTGAATAGTTAACAAGTTGACGTGAGTATTTTGCAACCGTAGTTAGATGCCTGTTTAGCTTTAATTAGATACTTAAAATTTTGATAATAATCATACAAAAACATTTTTGTTTCTTTTTTTTTTTTAAATGTCATTGTACTCTGTTTTGCACTCTAATTTAATACCCACTTCAGTTTTTGTTTACTAACCCTTGTTATCGATAGACAATGATAATCACGATAAACATTAGCTGTAAAGTCCAGATTTCAAACAAGAGGGTTGTTGTTTTGTAATCGAAATTCCATATCTTTTTGACCAATTAATTTTATCTTCTTGTGATCTTCCCTTAACAAGAGGATTAAACCAGTTCAAAGCTACTGTGTACGTTACTACTTATTTTCAATTGCATATATATTTATGGTTCGAATGTTACTACAAACGTATTGAATCCATAAACGACTTACTGTTACAAAAATGACGAAGCGTAAGGCTGCTTAGAATTAAATTTATTTTTCATCTGAGGATTCTTGTAGCGTATTTTTCTTAATTTCTTTTTGAATATACGCTATTTTATTCTTTTAAAATATACAACATGTTTACTTTATTTTTTTTTACACGCAATGATTAATAGAGCTAATCTATCTTCGTTTTGGGGTTTCGGATCATATCAGCTATTTCTGTATGGCCATTGATGAGAGCTAACTGAAATGGGTTGTAACCTTTGAAATTTTGTTTATTTATATCTGCATCATAATTAATCAACAAATTGACTATTTTAGTCAGTCCGGTCTGACATGCCAAATGTAAAGGAGTGTCACCATTTTTATTTAAACAATTTACCTTGGCTTTATGTTCGAGTAAAAGAGAAAATACTTTAACATTGTTTTTAGTGCATGCATCAAGAAGAGGACAGGATCCGAATGAATTTATAGCATTGATATCAACATTCTTTGTGAGAAGAAACTTTATCAGCTCGATTTTACCAGATGTACAAGCTAGCGTAAATGGTGTTACTTTATTAGTATCGAATTGATTAACTTTGGCATTCGATTTAATTAACAATTTAGCTACACCTACATTGCCTTTTGAACAAGCCATATGTAATGGTATTTGACCTGCGTTGTCTCTAGCATTGACCAGTGATCTATCATGTTCAATTAGAAAAACTGACAGATCATGGTATCCAAAAAGTGAAGTAACGTGCAACGGTGTTGTTCCGTCTTTTTTGGATTTACAGAAGGTTGGCTTTTCTGTTTTCAAAATATCTATGAATAAAAGACGGCGATTCTCATGTTCAATTTGAACACTTGAGAAAACCTCCCAGTTTAAGCCATCATTAATATCCTTTAATATTCGCTTAAGATAAAGTTGTTCATACTTACTTTCAATATTAATGGTATGAAGGCTATGCTCTTTAGAAAATGGAGCTACTTCAATGTAGTCTTTAATGAATTCGCTATTACTATGCTTCAAAATACATGGTACAAAATGTCGCCCAACAGTTCGCACTAACATACTAAACAAAGATGTACTTATACAGGTAAATGTTAAAGACGTTTCTTTAATGTATATATTTTCCATATATGAAAGGCTTGCAATGATTGCTTTTAATGAAACAAAATATCCAAAATCTAAATCTTGTAGCATATCATTTAAAATGTCAGCAACCTTACTTTCTGTTTGTATCTTATGGACGTGCAACATCAAAGATTGCTTATCAATGGTGTTGTTAAAAATAACTAATAACCCCAAAGCAATAAAGCAAGGGTCTGACGAAAGCCTCAGTTCATTCATTTCAGTCTCAATAATATCAATCGGATGTATAAAGTAATCATTTATACTTTTCTTGTCTTGAGCTCTATACTGCATACAAATCAATGGAAAAAAATTATATAACATTATAGTATTATCATGAAGTGACTTCATTTCTTCTGCAGAAGTATAACAGCTGCATATCAGTCGCCTCTCTTCTTTTGTCAAAAACATTTCATCTGCTAACATATCATAATGAATATGAGGAATTTTCAATAAACTGAATTTTTCATTCCTATAGATATATGATCTACATGTAACAATCAATTTAGTATTCAAATTTTGACTTAGAATTTTTGTAATAAAATTTGCCTCTGCTCCCCATGTCTGTAAACTATTTCCGTTTAATGAATATTTTCCTACGATATCGTCTATTACAAATACTTGTTTTGTTTCTACATTTATAGACTTTATAAGCTTCAATGGATTTGAAACTACAATCATACTGTAATTGTCGGTTTCTTTCAATTGCAAAGCAGCTCGATAAGACATTGATGTCTTACCACAGCCTGGTGGACCAGAAATAATTGTTACTGTATTGTCTCTGACAGTTTCATGCATGAATATTAGTGCTTTTGTATTTATAAAATCATTAGCATCTTTCTCTTTCACGTGGCGTTCTGAAAGTACGAAGATTAAAATTTCATCAAGATATATAGGTAACTATCATGAATATCTTCACTGAAGACTGAAAAGGGAACAAAATTAAACAGATCATTTGATTTTGAAGTCTTAAATTGAAATGTATTACCATAGCATTCATAACAATATAACAAGAGCTTTGTATGTAAGTTGCTTCTCACTTTATTCAATGATATGAACAATATATCAAGTTCTTGAATCGCTCACCTGGTAAGAGTATGTTAATTTGATATTGTTTTTTTCTTTTATTGCAATCAGTTATTTTGCTTATTTGGAAATCTCATTTAGTGATATTTGTGTAGGTCTTGTATTGATAATATTTTTTATCGTTTACGTTTGATACATTTCTTTTAAAGATTTTGAAATAGTTGGCAACATTTCAAAATCAGTAAAACATCGTCATTTGAGATCAATGCGTCTTATACCGAGTCCAAGAATTACCTTTTGGATCATATTTTCCTGGTCCTGAATGTATTTGAAGTTTCTCTATATCTACTATAACTTTTTAAAAACAAAATGGTTAAAACTCACCACTCATCAAGGTTTCGATTGAAAATTTCATCCATGTTGACTCATTTGTAAATCTTATTGTGCTGATTACTTTTGGTATTTCAAGTTCCTCTCTATCCATTACAGTTTCTGCAAAAAGGGTAAAAAGCGACTTTCAAGGGCACCAACTCCTATAATGGGCTTTTTAACGATTTAATCTTAGTTGAATATTTTGTTGATCTTTTAATGCTGAACATGTTAACAAGAAGTAAAATAAAAAATCGGAAAGTCCCTTATCAAATGGCAAAATTTAATGCTCAAACACATCAAATGAATGGAAAACAACTTTTATTTTCCTGCCTTGGTACAAGCATTTCCCTATGTAAAAAATGGTGGATAAAACCTGGTTTTATAGCTAGCTAAACCTCTAACTTCTATCACAGTCGCATAGAATTCCATTATATGAAAACAATGTGTGAGCAAAACAAATAGACATAATAGGTACAAATGTAGAAAATTGGAGTACAGCAGTCAACATTGTGTTGTAATTCTAATCACTATAAAACCAAACAAACATTTATGCCAACAAAGAAAATAAAAAAATGGCATATAGACACTCTATAGACACAACACAGAAGCAAACAAAAGACTGTCAGAGCGACAGCAAACCGGATATTTTAACATTTATTTGTGTCCTGGCATTTTTCAATATAACTTCTGAACGGTAAAAGTGACAATCATCAATATTGAACTTGCCATCCATTTTGTCATCAGTAACAACATATTAAAATTTGAAAAGCTTTCGTTGAACGGTTCATGAGTTAAAACACGGACACGTCTAGAAAGACCATTTTTCAATCTTTCAAGAACCATAACTCCTCTTCCATTTTGCCTTGTTCTTTTTTTTTTAGCAATATCAACCATGTTTGTTGCTGAATATTATCCTTGGATAATATTTAAAAAAGATTTCTTAAGGAGCATTCAAGTGAAGTGTCGTAAGCTATGGCGAAGAAGTTTTAAAGGCGATTCTTTTTTAAATTTGGCACGACGGACGGACGGATTATGAACGACAGATGGACAGATTACGAACAAATGACTGAAGACGGATGCCAAGTGATGGAAAAAACTCATCTTGTCTTTAAGAGCAGGTGAGTTGATAAACATAGATGTAGGTTCAACTTCATTGATACAGCAATCCAAATAACAAATAACCAAAAAAAAATATATTTTTATGTCAACACACCATCTTTACAATTGACCATACAGTTTTTTATAAAGTTGTAAATAGCCAAAAATTCAAAAAAATTATTTATAATTATTTGAAAAACAATGGAGATGGCAATTGCATTAAAAAAATGGTTTCAATGTAATATTTAAATCAAAGTAAATATATGCAATATTTTATGATGACGAAAATTTATTTGAAATGTAAACACTTTTTAATATGAATGAAAGTCCTGAACGATCAATTAATTACCCCGTTTAATCGTATCACAAACCGTAGATACAAAAGCCACCCTACCTTGAATAATTGGTTGTAATCCAAGTACCTTTTCATGCAAATTTCCAGGGGTCTGTTGTAACTTTTTTTCGTCAATACAGTTGCTTGTTTCTGTTTGTTATGGAGTACAATAAAACAATTGTTAGTGATTGTTTATTTCATTGGTTTTTGTTTTAATTTCCGTAACATTAATAGAGCAAATAAAAAGGGACGCAGTTGGATCAAAAAAATTATATTATGGAAACATTCAATTATTTTTTCTGATTTATTTTTTTTTGTAATTCATTGGTTTTGTTGAGAATCAAATGGAGTAACACGTTTAAATTTTGTATCTGCTTGTATGAATAGTTCTATTACCAATATTAATGACAACTCGTGAAACTTGATACCGACCACTGGGTTGATGCAGTGTTAGTTGATTGCAAAACCCAGAGGCTATTACAAAACATGTTGAATCATGCTATTACTTTGAAACAAATACTCGAAACATATTTATATCAAAGGGATATTTAAAAATCATAAGTCAAACAAATACAGAATATACAATGACAAAGATAAAAAAAGAAAAGACAATCAATGATAACTTATAAATAAAAAAAATTCTTTATAGAATGTTTATCTAGTAAATGAAAATAACCCTTTATAGATTACATTTCTCCTAATTGTTTTTCTGGAATACCATATGTATATACTCTTTTTATACTTTTCATGTTTTTGTCTTTTGAAATGCTCTTCCTTTGTACAAAAGGATTGCTTCGTCCATTGAAAGTGTAGTATTTGGAATCAAGTAACATCAATACATGTACTCTAGCCATTTAGAATTATTTTACAGAACTAACTTTGAATTTGAATTTCTTATTATGAGGACACATATTGGTTACATTATCTTAATAACAATACTAACCTTTATCTGCTATCATTATTATGTAACTTATCACCAACAAAATAACAATGACAACTACAATATAATAATAGAATACTTGCAATAAATCTAGCAACTTGTTTATATAATATTCAAACCCCCCTCAATATACAAAATGTGTCCATGTTATCTTAAAACCAGGATACAAACAACATGAACAACATACAATGTAGCGAAAAAGTAAACTGCAAAATGTCATCGCCATGTAAAGCTCAGACTAAATAAGAGAATATATGACTAAACAAGGACTAATATTTAGTAAAAATAATCCCGATCGGAAAAGGGATTGTTATATATAGTTTTACTTTATATTATCCCCGTGTAGTAAACACAGTCCCAGCAATGTGTCCTCGACTGTGCATCAACGTTTTTTTTTCTTGCCGTGTGCATTATGACGGCTGCTACTTATGGACCAGACGTTAACTTGGGTTCATTCCTTGTTTGATTTCAAAGGAGTTCGTATTGCTTGAGGTCTAATTTATAGTATTATATTTTGGTATTTTTTTATTCTATAATATCTGTAATGTTTATATCGGTAATAGTCTTATAAAGAGTAAAGCTTTGTTGACAATTCAAACTTTCGCATACGTCAAATGTTAATGTTAGGGAATATTGAAACGCTGCCTCCCTGGTGCTAGAGTCGGCCACCAGAGAACACAGGGTCACAAAGAAAGAGAGAGTAAAAGGTTCTATAAAGTGTAAGGTTCGACGTCCACTGTTTACCGCCGAACCAAAACACGTTACAGAAAGGGAAATCGTATACTTGTGGTTATATATATATATATACTCAGTTGTTAAATAGAATATCTGAATAAAATAAAGTTTCATTTTTTATTAATATCAAAAATAATCCACGACGGAGAGAATGGGTCTTGCAGGCTCTGTCACTGGTCTGTTCGGGTCCCCGGTAATGGTTGGTATTACAGTATACAAACAAACTTTTGATAATAACCAGCTAATAATATATAATTCAACCCGGTGGTCCCTTATTTGGACTCTTTCAATAATCCCAATTTAAGGATATTATCACAATTTCACAGTATTCAACATCGACTTATCATCATAAAATATCTAAAACAAAAATTAAATACAGAAAGCAACAATTTTACTCCCGTCACTAACAACCTTACTTAGGACTGTCAATAACCACCTTAGCACCTTCCTCCACAACTTTAATTATTGTTATCACTAACAACAATAGCCCCCTCACCGACAATATTATTTATTCTCGTCATTCATAAAATAATTCCTATCACTAACAAACTTAATCACTGTCAATGGCAATATTAATTAACACCACCACCCACAACCTTAGCACCGTCACCGGCAACCTTAGCACCGTCACCGACAACCTTAATTATTTAGCACCGTCACCCACAACCTTAGCACCGTCACCGACAACCTTAATTATTTAGCACCGTCACCCACAACCTTAGCACCGTCACCGGCAACCTGATTTAGCACCGGCACCGACAACCTTAAATAAAAACAAAATTAAATATTATTATATACCGTCTTTACTAACTTTCAACGCTTGATTATAATTATCAGACATCTCTATTTGAATTTGCCGCTCTCTAACTTTTCCAACCCAACAATCCCTCGGTTCTGTTGTTGCTTTTGCTTTTATACTTCCGACTGACCAATGGCAGAGCTTGTTACATATTGTTTACCAATCGGCAACCATGGATCACACAAGGGAAATTCCCGTAATGTTGATATCATTTGTTAACATGGATTGATCTTCATCAATAAAGATGGGTTTTGATTTTAAATACATTAGTAGATCATTAGAAGAGTTTTATTTGAGTTTATATTCTAATAAGGTAACTACCGCGAAAATATGGAATCAGTACGTGAAATAAAACTTCTTAACAAACTAAGTTAAACATACACAAATCGCTCGTATCATTGAAACAACCGCCAAAATAACAAATTATAAGTCTGACATTACTTGCAACATTAGACATCTCACTAACATCTATCATTTATCCTCAATAATTTCCAGAAACTATACAGACATAGATTTACTATAAAAAGGGGGAAAGGCCGGCATTACAATATATAATAGCAATCTTAATTGAATTTGTTGAAATATCTACGGGTAAGAAAGAAATATTCTTCAATCCGCTACATTTTTTGTATTTTTTTATTATTACTATCGTTAATTTTATTACTACCACTGGGTCGATACTTCTGCTGGTGGACTGATATTACTAGCCCACTTTCCAGTACTTCTGTGCTGACATAAAAATACGAATATTGTTTGATTAAAATGTGGAAATATTTTGAATTAAGGAACATATCTCTCTCATGCAAATGCTGTGATTCCTTGTTGGGATGTTACTGTATTTGTGTCATTTTTTATTGTATCAGCTCTTCAGCGTTGTAATAAGGTTTTGAATTTTTCAAATAGTTTGGCTTCGATCATTACTGAAGAGACATTAATTGCTGAAATGCTCATCTGGTGAAGTACAATAAGCATTGTTACTGTTATTACTACCACTGGGTCGAAACCTCTGCTGGTGGACTGCTTGTTCCCGAGGTAATCACTAGCTACGAACCCAGTTCTTAAGTGATGGCATGAAAATACGGATATCGTTTGATTACAATTTGCTGGTTTAATTTTGGGAATCATTTTAAATTACGAAATATATCTCCTTCATGCAAAAACCTGTTTTCCTTTCCGGATTTGGCCAAACTTTAAAGTGCTTACATCTATAAAAATAAGAAGATGTGGTATGATTGCCAAAGAGACAACTACCCACAAGAGACCAAATGGCACAGAAATTAACAACTATAGTTCACCGTACGGCCTTCAACAATGAGCCAAGCCCATACCGCATAGTCAGCAATAAAAGGCGCCAAAATGACAAATGTAAAACAATTCAAACGAGAAAACTAACGGCCTAATTTATGTACAAAATAACGAACGAAAAACAAATATGTTACACAGCAACAAACGAAAACCACTGAATTACAGGCTCCTGACTTGGGGCAGGCACATAGAGAATGTGGCAGAGTTAAACTCATTTGAAGGCGCCAACCCTCCCCTAACCTGGGACAGGGGTGTAACAGTACAACATAAGAACAAACTATAAAAATCAGTTGAAAAGCTTAACTCATCAGATGGATACAAATAGAAATACATCTAAAAAAAAAACACACAAAGTGAACGTGGACGGGTACTTATACATCCGCACGACAGAAAGATACTAAATACAGACCTTAGAGTACTCGCAGTTACTGACAGCTAGTTCAAAGCCAATAACAACTAATAAAAAAATTCATGCATCTAAGACTAAAATATCAATCAGTACACATCCAACCTCCAAAGGATTTAGTGTAAAGACGTCATAAACAGTCAGAGAAAAAGATGACCTTGTGCAATGCCAAGATACAGGTACTTCATTTGAACTTTGAATGATAGTTGTCTCATTGGAAATCATACCACATCTCCTTATTTTTATAAGTTCGTTTTTTTTTTTTTATTTTATCAGCTCATAAGTCATGTAAGTGTTTCCATTAGGTTTTTGATTTTCATATGTTTTTGCCTCGAGCATCGCTGAGAACTCGTAATTGATACCGTTAATGTTACTACTACACGAAAACATACATTACTGAAATCGTTTTATAATAAACACGAACGGTACGCAATGCTGACCCTTTCGAAGCACCTGAGTAAACACTCGATCTTTGTTGGACTTTTTTTTTCGGGGGGTGGGGTATTTTTTAAGTTGATTCATGGTTGTTCTTCGCTTTACTGGTTTCTTCTCCCTCTTATATATATGTATGTGTGAATTACAAATACAATAATGAACAATTCAATTTTGAAGATGAATAAAAGATGAGATGTCATAATTTAAAATGAGTGACGATGATTTACTATCAAAGTAATACCTTTGTTCTGCTGAACACCTGATTGCAAAACATGTAATAGGAAAAAAACGCCAAGTCGCAAATGCAGGCATCTTCTTGTTAAAAAAATATACAATCTATATCCAAGCAGGAATAGATAAAATAATCGGATAGTAGCTGTTTTGTTCTACCCTAATGCCTTCATGTAAGTCATAACAACAATTTTCTGACTGCAAAAGAAATTGTAAGAAAATACATTAAAGCAGCTGTACTTTAAGCATGTTAAAGATGTTCAAATCTCGTAAATTGATTAAGAAAAGACAAATCAAGGAAACAAACCAAAACCGAGAGGTTCGCACATGAAGTCCAAAAGGAGCAAGATTGATGCATCACCAGCTATGCAAATCCGCACTCAGTAAAATGACACAATAAGTAAAATTTCAGATCAAACGACTGGTACCTAAAGACCGTGCAAGCATGTCTCTAGTGAGTTGAGACATCGACACACCGTATCGGTCAAACAATTCGTGATCGTAACTTGAAAATGTATGACATGTCGACTTCAGTGGTTCATCCACATAACAATTGTTAGGGCAGTTTTTGTGTAATTAAGGAGCAACAACCCTGTTAATGTAGTCCGTAAAGTGAAAAAATGCAAGAGCGTAACTTATGAACTGAAATATGCAGACGCCCTAAGATACAGCAGAGGGTTTGTTTCTGTTGAAAATGGGACCGTAAGTGTCAATATCCAGGAAAAATTCAAGACTACTTTCGTTAGTATCCGTAATCTCAGATGTAAGCACTCATTGAAATGTGGGGTATTGAGTGAGTGATGGGTATTAGTATACCAGAAAGTGAAATAAGGAGAAACCTATAGCCAATTGATTTTTTTTCTTTTAGAAATTTCTGTATGAATTCTTATGCATATGAATACAAATACAAGTACGCCAGTAGTGATGCACTATTCTAATATGACGTGCTTCTTTCGCTTTGTTAACAATACCGTGATAAAATTCTCGATATATCTATAAATAGGTCATCTATGCTTAGGTCAGGAGCCTGTTGTTCAGTGTTTGTCGTTTGTTGGTGTGGTTCATAGGTGTTTCTCGTTTCTCGTTTTTTTTATATAGATTAGACCGGTGGTTTTCCTGTTTGAATTATTTTACACTAGTCATTTTGGGGCCCTTTATAGCTTGCTGTTCGGTGTGAGGCAAGGCTCCGTGTTGAAGGCCGTACTTTGACCTATAATTGTTAACTTTTTATACATTGTGACTTGGATGGAGAGTTGTCTCATTGGCACTCATACCACATCTTCTCATTTATTTCTAGCGCAGACTCAGAGATGTACATAATAATGGCTGTTATAATATACCTCCCACGTAAATCCACATGTATTGGAACCTATGTTCAAACGCTATGCCGATTTCGCTGGGTTAAAAAATTGCAATTAGAAAAAAAATATACAGAACTTTTATTATTATTCTGATGCACAACAAAAAGAGTTAATGCATTAGAACTCGGAAAAATGTCCAAAATCAAAATAAAATAAAATTTCGCTCAGGATATTTGTCTCGGTGTATTTGTTGTTAAAATCAGTGTGATTATTTAGAAAGTAAGATTGTGCATGACTTAAAACATGAATTTGTAGAAATTAAGGTCTGTTGATTAAGACGATGTAGTCGATCTTTCGATTGATCATGGAGAATTATAGTGTGAAAAAAAAAGTAAAATCACAAAAATACTGAACTCAGAGGAAAATTCAAAAAGGAAAGTCCCTAATCAAATGGCAAAATCAAAAGCTCAAACACATCAAACGAATGGATAACAACTGTCATATTCCTGACCTGGTACAGGCATTTACGTAGAGAAATCAAAGGCCTTAATAAATTTAGATATTACTGCAAAATCGTAAAGATGGTGATTGAAGATTTTGGAATAGATCTTTCGAATTTTTTAGAATCAATATTTGACGACCCGGATAAACATCGTTTTATAAGGATTTTTGTGACATTTAGGTATACAGTATAAATATCCGAGAATTTTATCGTCCTTTTGAATGTTAATATTAAAGGAAAGATGGACGGATCTGTGATTTTCAAAAATCTCCTCATGTACGTGTAATACGCGGAATTCTTTGTTATATATCTTGGTGTTTTAACTGTTATATTTGTTTATTTTGAACTCTTCGGTGTTGATTACAGATTTCTATGGTAATTTCTGTTAAAATTAATGGTATCGTGTCCTTAACTCGAATCAAAGCTTAACAAATAACGTCTAGAAGCATTAACGAACAATTTACACATCTTGTTATTCATTTAAATGTGTGCAATTAACTTCCTTCATACTTTGTTTTCTTTTAAAAACTCTGCTCTTAAAATCTTAAAAGTCCTGCAAATTTACCTAATAATAAACATGATAAAAGCGATATATCATTTTTAAACTAATCATTAGGTTACACTTCACCTGCAATTTCAACTGAAGCCGTTACGATTGGTGTTCTGTATGTGAATCTTTTTCGACCTGGTTCCGGGTTTACTGAAAATTAACAAATACAAGCTTGATGATTGCAGATGTAACACTTACATTCAAACAATATATGAAAAACGTTGTTATTGGAAACAGTAATACATGTAAGTGCCGCAAAATGTATTAACAAATTATAAACAGCTTTAATTCACAATTTTGTTTGACGAATAATATAGCTAAAGTGTATCGAAGATGGTTTCTTTAATAAGACTTTCTTTACGTTCACTAGAACTTAAAACTTGACGCTGCCACACTATTAAGTTGTCGTATCGTGTATGTATAATTTGCTTTAGTGTATTGTGGACGAATTCTATTGTGTCTTAGTATCCACAATATAAGGAAGCTAAAGCAAAAGACATTAAAAAACATATTTTGGTGTGGTCAATGTTTTCAGTATAAAAACAATCAAACAGTAAAACTTTTAAGTAATTAAGGTACATATATTTTACTGCATCTAAAATTAGAAACACCGTAACACCATGACCATTCTCTTCCGTTTACTTGTACACTATAAAGTTTTATACTCATTCTCACTAAAATGACATAAAACTGTTTGGGTTTTATGTTTACATAAAATAAGGAGATTTGGTATGATTGCCTATCCACCAGATACCACATGACGTAGATGTAAGCAACTATATGTCCTCTATATGCACCTCTGGCTTTTATGCTCTAAAAAAGATGTCTGATATGTATTTTCTTATTCAAAACTTATAGATATATACTGTAATTTTTTTTGACAACTCACCAGGTTGAAATTTCATTTCAGTTGATTTATTGCTGCAAATACAATGAAAGTATAATGAAACAGAAATGAAAATGTTAATTTTTCCAAAATTATTAAAAACAGCTGGATAGCCGATAAATTCTAACTCCATGCTTAATCAAAATATCTAATTGCTTTAAATATGATATTATAACTCATTTTGGACAGTTTACATTAGACTATTTTTGTTTACTAGTTAGAACTTATTTAAGTTTGTAGATCTTTAATCGTTTTGTATCATTGTCCCGTGCATGCTATATAAACCGGGATATTGCAGAACATTATACCCATACCAATGTATCATCATCTGCTCGAATTTGAAAAAGGTACCTGCTAAAAAAATTGACCATATCACGAAAATTGTAATATTTATTCATTAGTAATGAAGTCAACAGTATTTACTTGAAATGTAAAAAAAAAATCAAATCCACAGTCATAGTTTTGTATGTGTTTTATTTCATATAGGAAATGAATAAAAGATATGTAAATAAAATAATACGTCGAGGAGACAGAAACCCAACTTCACAAAAAGCCCAATAAATAATTCAACGTACTGTCTTGACCATAATATAGTATCTATATATACACCATTTGGCAAGCTCTAAATCGTATGACAATTATACGGATATATACTGTTCCTGACTTTGAATAGGTACATTAAAAAGTTAAACGGCATTTTGAGAACTAACCCAGTGGAATATTTATATGTGTATGAAGAATAACTCTCAGTTAAGTAAACACAGTTATGAGCCCCGTACGTATTACAGACCAAAACAAAAACGCACCCGTTCGTGCGCTTAGCTTAACCCCTATGTACATATTGAGAGAAAACAATCGAAGTATCGGCTCACCGGAATTAGGTATCTGACAAACAAGAAAAGTGTTTACAAGTTGCAACTCATTGTCGTTAAGTTACTGACCAAATACGAAGTCTTTCCGTAAGGTAGTTTATCAGATAAGAAACAAAAATTTGTTGGACCACCGGACGGACGGACAAACAATGGTGTTGCACCCAATCCTAGATTGGAGGTACAATATATAGACAAATATGTACCGTAATAAAAAATACCCTGCCTGAATACAAGCTAAGGTAACCTATCTATTGATACAGAATCATGCAATGGTGTGCTCTAATATCGACTGCTGTACTTCCTATGAAATGTTATACTACACCGCAATGGACTATATATATTGAGACAATTACGAAATAAATGTGGCTTTTTTGTGTGTTGAAGGCCGTATAGTGACCTTTAATTGTGTTTATCTTCGTCATTTGAACTATGATTGATAAAGTTGTCTCATACCAAATGTCCTTATTTTTATATTATCCCATTTACCTTTTTTTTGTAATTTATAATTGTTTGTCACGTCGGGGCCTTTTGAATAATTGAAACTATGCTCAAGCTGTATTGTCTACATGAAATGTAGGACTAATTTCGGACAGAGATGCAAATTATTTTTTTTTATTAGATTTATTTTCTTTTTGTTTCCGGTCATTTCTTTTCTAAAAGTAATTTACTAAAATACTTTTTCTATCCAAGTTTCGTAACAATTCATAAAGGTTTGGCAAATAGTTTATGCTACTTTACGAGTAACTATCTTTATAAATATTGATGATAAATATCATTGATTTCGAAAAAAAACCTTGGCTATACTAATGAACTTGACAGCGTAGTTGTGAAGGACGGGAAAGATTTCACGACGTTGTTGCGATTAAAACTTATTTCAACGTAATTTAGCGCCTTATTAGCAAACGTCCCGTTTGCCATTAAAAATCATGGTTTATTGCTTTTATTGAAAAAACAAGCACATGAACCCCCATTTTTTTCTTTGCAATCAATCAAGGAATGTTTCAGGGACGCTCCGCCAAAATTCTAAGAAAAAATCAACGATCAATTTTTTTCTGCACCTCTGAATAAACTCAAAAATATTGTCAATTTCTTTATTTCACTAATAGTAATATAATTTAAAAAAAAACAAAAATTAAGTTAAACCTTAAACTTGTTACAGCATTTTGATGCCGTGGTTCAAAGGAACATTTTACCAAAAAAAAACACCGGTTAAATTATGACTGTTCGTTCAAAAGTATTGTTACTTTCCTTAAAAGTCCTTATTTATGCAAGTTCAGTGTTTTTCCTTCAATATGCAAATTTCGAACCAAATTATCACAAAAAGTAAGTCATGAAGGTATATTTTTCTTTGCACATTTCAAAAGTACACATTAAAATTGACCTTCTACCAAAATTTCAAGAAAAAAATCAACAAGGGATCTCTACTGTATCGTATGCCCTTAATTGAACGCTTTGTGATTTTCTTAATGTACAATGTATGTCATAATTTTGTAGTTTACTTTAAAATTTCAGACAAACGTTATTTCATAATTTGGGAGATTACTTTCCCAATATAGGATGCCACACTTTTGAGTGCATCACCACGGCTAAAGCAGACCTGGTTGCTGTTCGACTCCGTCCGTCCGTCTGTCCGACAGAACTTGAGTAGAAAATATTTGTCAAATTTTTCTTTGCTTATATTGAAGGGAATGATTCTATATTTGGTCTTCATTCTCATAATGTTGAGTTGTAGCGGGAAAGCAATTTTTACAATTGCCATGTCACCACATCCTCTTTGTCGTTAGTTTTAAATTTTAATCAAAAGTTTCTTTGCTGCGGTGTAAGAGAATGATTAGTTATGCTTCAGTATACACGTTATCTCTATCAAAGGTATGCATCGACCAAAGTATTTTTTTTTTTTTTATACAAACCGAATTTTAGTGTTCAATACAAAGAGGTAGTTTTAAATCGATATCTAGTTACGATCGCGCATTCCACCGAAACCAACGTCGAGGATTCATTGAATTTGCAGTGAGTAGTATGCTCCGATCCAATTACAATTATTCCTATGAAAGGTTGAACTATATTTAAAGACAGCCTACACTTCAATTAAAGAAATATAACAAATGACTACATAATGATACATTTACGTTTAAGCTTACTTTGAATGCGTGTGTGATTCACTGGTAGTGTTTCTGTTGTGACCAAGACTACCTGCTGTACACAAATATCCTGTATAAAAACCAAATGTTATTTAGAGCAGAAAAAGATAAACTCAAACATTTAGGATATGTTGTTTATTGAAACTGAATTGTCATAGGGTCGGAGAATTCACATTCCTTGATGGCCAATGGTTCATAATGTACATGACCGATTGTTGACGAATTTAGTGATGGTTTGGGGTTAGATAAATAGAGATTAATACATTCGAGGTGCTGATATGGGTCGAGGGATGATACCCGGGCCGATATGGAAAAGACAATGTATTAATCTCCATATCATATACTTCCGACAATTGTTTTATGTAAGGCAAATAAACAAATGAAATAACTAAAACAGTCAAAAACTATTTAAAGAAGTTAAATCATGAATCCAACAAATACACTATAAATGTCCAACAATAGCATCACTACCTCCATATATATTATGGTACCATTTCCTATAGAGGCATTTTGAAACATTAAAAATTTGGAAGCTGGAAGCATGGAGGAAGTATTTACAGTTTTATTATCATTATTACTACATGTTGTACTATATGATATGATTCATAATTGTCAATGGCATTTATTAGCAAGTACTAATTGTAAACTAGCATCATTTTGAAAATCTATATCATCGGATTTAGCCATGTTAACATCTTTTTTTCAATAACAGCTGGTTCTGTACAAACAGATTTACCACTGGATCCAATAAACCTTATCGCTTTTTGTCCGCCATTACTGGACATCCCAAAAGTTCCCGTAAAATTTTGACGTCAAAATAAAAAATATCTGACGTCACAATGGAAAAGTAAACATACCATACCGGAAATACCGGAAGTAACTTGCACGAAAGGCACTGTTATGGGTTTTTTGCACGAGACGCCCCTGATATGGGTTATCAGCCCGGGTGGGAAATTATGGCTTGTGTACTTCCGTTCATTACACATATGCAAAAGCTATCATATTAATGCTAAGTATATGATAAAAGTCAATAACCAATCCGCTATCATGTGAAGCATACTCACTTGATTAGCTTATCAACGTATTGCATATGAGTAACAAGACAAGTGTTACATCTGGAGCAGGATCTGCTCACCCTTCCTAAGCACCCGAGATCGCCGCCGGTTCTGTGAGGTTCGTGTTGCTCCTTCTATGTTGTGTGTTGTATCTTGTTGTTTGTCTTTTTGTCGATTTTTGTTTTTTGCCATTGCGTTGTCAGTTTGCCATCGACTTGAATTTGAATACTCGTTTGCTATCTTCCGCCTCTTTCATCTAACTCTTCTAAATAGGATTTTACGAATTGTCTTTTACACATGTATCATTGTACCAATTTCAAATGCATTATAAGTCTGATACTTACGCTAAGTATACATTATGTATAGGTTAAGTCGCTTGTGTGTTTTTCTTTAATATTGAATGCACAATGTTTAAAAAAACGAGAGACGGAAGATACCTTGGAGACATTTTCAATGTCTTCTTTTTATTTTTAAACAAAATGTCCTCTCCCCGTTTATATCAGGAATATTATTAACTTATATTCAAGTGATAGGGTACCTGCATTAAGAATATGTCCAGCAGGACATTGTTCTATGTAACACGAACAGTCTTCTTGGGACGGTACGCAAAAAGTGATATCCTTGGGTTGTAAAACAAATGAATAGCCTCTTGTGTTATCACAACGGCAACTGATATCTTTCCTCGTTAATTCGTCAGTCTCAATTATCTGCCCCTCTTCACTGCATACAGATTTTTGGAAAATACATTCACTGCTTCCGTTTGTCCAAAACATAAATGGTTGATATCGGTTAGAGGAGCACATTTTCCCATTTAAACCTCCTAAAATTACCACCTTCAATCCTGAAAAAAACATGGTGTGTACGTTACTTCCGATTTTAGTATAAAAGAACAATTATATTGAATAATCTGTCGTCTGATAACACAACTCACTCTTTTTTTCTACTTACAAATATATTGTAGTTCCTTTACTCAACATTTCCTGAATATATGTTTTTATGCCGCCTTTAAAAGACAATAAATCACAGGGTTTGACTGCTTATAGAAGTAGGATAAGTTGATGCATCTTGTTGGGAGAATGCCACGGCTCTATGTACGTTAAAGAATCCTGCAACAACTCATTAGATGGCCTGTTGCCATTTCTTATTATCTAACATACCCTCTTGTTCCAATGACAGTTCAATTTTTCCACCCTCCTTTGAATTGTTTATTTGTGTTCGTCCTGAATTTTGGTAAAACATTTGCCACTGAACGTGAATCAATCAATCAACATTCGAATGTGGTCGGGGACAACAAAATGTGTAAGCAAACTGTTCTTATTTGCAAAGTGTTTCTTTCAAAAAGAAGACATGCGGTCTTCAACAATAGACATATGTGTCAAGCAGGAGTTAAAATGAAACCGACAATAATGTAAAGACACAATATCAGATCTGCTATCAACACTAAATTCTTTAAACAAGAAAACATTAAAGAGATTACAAATGGCAGGCACTGACACGTGTCCTGAATTACGCTTATTCGTGTGCATACATGTATTGCGGGTTAAAAAATGTTTTATCTAATATCGAACAATGGGATGACATAAGAATACATAATAATGTAAAGTTAACTCAATTGTAGACGAACAGTAGAAAAATAACAAAAATACATAACAAAAAACAATATCATGTTAAAGAATGCCTGTAGTAAATTATTTAGCATGCCTACACAGAAACGTGTCTTCCTAAACGCTAATATCCGGGCTGCCCAACAGAGACTATTTTATATAGAATTGTAATTAACCTCCCAGTAAGGAGGACAAAACCTTTTGCAATTACCATAATAAAGTTGTACAGGATTTCAATACAGGCAAAAAATATCAGAAACATGTTAGTTATGCTTAAAACTACAAATAAGCTTTTCCAAAAAGAATAAAAGAACAGAGTTTCAATGTCCCACGCGTTGCACATATTTTATCTGTCCAAGGAATATAGCTAAACAAAAACGTTTTTGATTCTTTAAAACTTTTTATAAATGTCACAAAAATGTAAGCTTGACAGCGCTTACAATGCAATCGTACATAAATTTAATTTTTCCAAGGGCATAACTCTTTTCAAAATAGTTGATCGACACTGTTTTTCAAACATGTCCCGGACATTGCTGTAATAAATCTTTGATATAAATTTCATTAATATCTGGCAATATTGTATACTAGAGCGCCATTACAAGGCAATTTTCTATAGAATTAACATTATTAATGGACATAACTCCTGCAAAATTAATTGATCAGCACTGACACAGACATTGCTGAAATAAAACTCCAATATAAATTTCAATACAATCGTTTAAGAAATGTGGACTTAAGAGCATTTACAGTACAGTTTTTCATATCATTAATACTTTCACATGTTTCAAGGGGTATTTTTTTTTAAACTAGGTAATTGGCACTGATCTTTTAACTTCTCTGAGACATTGCTGATACACCCCTTTGATCTTAACATAATGAAATCTTAGGAATTATATATATATCTTCCGTCCGTGAAACAGATTAGAAAACAAAATCTATATATTTCGAAATCTATAATAAATATCTGCTATCAATAATGTAGAAAAAGATGGTAGGAGTGTGCCCTTTTTTTAACATGCCTTATTGTCTCTATTAAAAAGTGGATACATGCGTATACGTCATTGATGAACCAACTCAATGGCACTAAAACTAAAGCCATTTAAAAAAAAATCTACTTAAAAATGCGGCCGTATGGTGGCCTATTATTGTTTAATACCACTTCCTTTAAACTCTGGTGGATAGTGGTCTCATTTTCAATTATAAAACATTTCCTCTTTTTTATATCAACTATTAGCTGTCATTATACAAAAGCCAACGTACTGTCCTCAATTTTCCTTCAATTAACTAACTATTCTTATTATTGTATTTAAAGTTATGCAGGGTTCAATTGCGCTACTTTGGTCGAAATTTGATTTACTGGCGAAGAGAGAGTAAGTATACGATATTTAAAACCATCAAATCACAACTTTATGCTCGGATATCTTCGGATAGAATACGAGTATCTCCGATTTGATTCAAACTTAACTAAAAGGAAACAGCTGTTAACCACACAACGTTTGCACATAAATTTTAGACCATCAATCTTAGAAGTGATGACCTGAAATATGTAGCGATACGCAATCTAAATGCACGTTACAAACAAAGTGACAGATAAGTCAGAGGTGATGTCACTTTGACGCCCTAAACATTTTTATATTTCACATTTTTTGTCATATTTTGACCTTTTATAGCTTTCTATGCGGTATGGGTTTTTTTCATTGTTGAAGGCAGTACGTTGATCTATGGTTAAAAACATCTATGTCATTTGATCTCTGGTGAATAGTTGTCTCTATTGGCAATCATATAATGTACCACATATTCTTATTTTTCTATTGAATTTGGCCATTTTAACATAAAGAGTTCATATTACACAAAAGTTTTGCTATACATGAATTAAGTTATTGACCAAGGCCATATCAAATAATACTTAACCCAGAATAACATCTGTGACACACATAGCAAAATATATATGTTTGGATAAACCTTGGTTCATATCTAAATATAAATGAGAAAATTTCAAAATGAGGCAGAATTTGCAATTTTCCATAAAATGCTAAAAACAGAGAAAGTTTGCGTAAGGGACAATTCAAAGTTATATATTACATTTGTGGTATTTGACAGACTTACTTCTTATAAGCATCTGATCGATGTTATTTAATAGATTCGAAATACCTTTTGATTCTCGATTCAAGGGGTGAAAAAACTAATCTAGTCATACTTTCTTTTTTATTTGGTACATAGTATAGAAAATAGCAGAAAAATAAAGTTCGGTTGAAAACTGGCAAATTGATACTTTCTGTCCAAATAAAACGATTGAATGTGACTATTTGCATTGATCACGACTATTAAAGCAACAGATTGCCAATGCTTTCTGCAACATGTGTTTGCTCTCTCCATTTAAGGTGTCATACTATCAAAGATACTATATGTTCCACCAAGTTAATCAACTTTCACAGCGATAGAGTTATACGCTTTTACCTTAAGTTTAACGTCAATGCCATGTTTAAACCTCAACCTACGTTTAAAAGCTTGATGTGACCGGTGACCTTTAGGAAATCACCTTCTACTCAAAATTGTGGGACTGTTTTAGAAAATAATACTCTGTTGCACATCTTCAGACACTTTTGATTCGAGTATGGCTTATAGATGGCTCAAAATCTCCACGTTAATAATTTTTTGCTTTCCGCACTAAAACATACAATTATAAGCTTAACATAAATCTTTGTATGCATCTATTCACCACTTAATGTAACATCAAATTTATATGTTTCAAATTTATAAACGATTAAACTATAAAATATAATCAATGTGTAATGCATTATTCATATTTAGGGTTCAAACATGATTGCAATTATTGTTTTTTTAATTCCAAAAATTAAAATTTTAAGGTGGAAGTACTCTTTCTTAATTCAAATCTGAAATAAAGTCTCATTACTGAAACTCCTCTAGGCAATAACAGAACGTAACATTGCCGTTATTGAAATAGTTATGACTAGGTGAAAACAACTGCTTATAATCTACAATAAAGCTTGTTACTTAAAAGTGTACTTTGACTAGACATTATGTTTGCAAAGATAGTGGGCAGGTTATTTTGATTGACATATACCTTTGTTATGATTGTTATTAGGGTTTTTCACAATGGTTAGTGATATTCGAGAACACGAGTTTGAAATATTTTAAAGATAACTCGAAGGATAGCTGATTTCAAATACCAATGTATATGGCTTAGACGAAATCTCTAAAAATGAGTACGACGAACAACTGACAAAGAGATGGTAGACATGGATAATCTAATGTATACAAAATGTTACGCAACAGTAACATGTTCAAATAAAAGTAATTGCATGATTATCTTGAAAGAAATTACTACATGGTAATGAAAATAATACCTGGTCCTTCAAAATCTGGTGTTCGTCTACAAAACTCAGTGTACATGCAGCTGTTTTCGTCAAACAAACAATAATATTGTGATGTATCATTGCAATCATGGTATGCTCGTAAGTTCCAATGTGAAATATGAGGACACTTGATATCATATGATTTGTATGAACATACGTATATAAGAACCTGAAACTGAATGTAAATTGGTCAATATACAAAAAAAAAAAACGAAAAAGAGATAAGAGGAAATACCAAAAATATTGGGCAGTAGAACTGTCCACACAACCCCAAACGAGTCGATCCCTCCCAGAAAGTATATAAGGATGTTTTAATGATACGATTGACCACTGAAGAGTAAGAAAATACTTTGGTTGGAATGAATGGTAATTTGTAATTGTTTATGCAGTAGAAACATGTATTTCTTGTTGGAATTAAGTGTTAGTTGCAATGTCTTTATATGTAAAACTAGAAAATCTTGTATTTTGTTCATCATCTAACCAAATGATCTTAACGTGCTCCTCTTATTGCAGTGTGTTCCGTTACTAATACAACTGATTCAAACAAGTCCAGAAGACGGACGCGAAGTGTTAACAATAGCTTACATGGACCATATTGGCCAAATCAACTCTAATGTCTCATCTACCAGATAAGCCGATTCGACAAATGACATGTATTAGAATATTAGTCATACTGATGTGTATACTCACCATTTGTGTAATACAATACTTGAGTGACATTTTCTATGCAACTGAAAAAACAAAAGCAATGCCAAAACAATGATACTAATATATATCAAACAAATTATTTTGGAAAATATCGATGAGAATTCAAAGCTTAATTGGTTTTTTAGAAAGATATCATGTATTTGAACCCAATGACAGACGGACTATTAGTATATTGTACTGAATGAGTCGTTTTAGATTAAGAATAAAAACAAAATCATATCGAAAGATACATGTACTAAGGAGGACTCATGTTCAAAGTTAGTAACATTGTTATATGTAGATACGTTCAGTACAATGACTTTGTTTTGTTATGGTGCTGTTGGTCATGACTGCGTTAATTCACTCCACACTCACAATCCTACCACCCTAACCCCGAATAGTTGTCTCGGATCTTTCCAAATAGCAAATAAGAAGCAATTAAAATCTTTGTATTAATATTCTACATTGAAATTGTCGTTGTAAGAACTTAATTCAGGTAAAGCTTCAATTTAGGGATGAAAAGAATCTAGTTGATTTTCAAGGTCAATGAAAAAGGTCACATCGCTATTTTTAGTTGCAAAGGACTGATGCACTTCAAACTTCCCTTGTTATTGACTAAGCATATTCTTTATGGATTTGAAACAAGTCGGAATCGACTTTCCGTTCGTATGAAGCATATTCAAAAATATATCCTATATTTCTCAACTACTCATAGGTTAATTGAAAGTATGTTGCTATTACAGAGTTTTTTGGATAGGGCCACCCTGCTAACTCAAGCAGTATTATGTTGTCCCATGATTGATGGTATCGCCTCGTAAGTTCTATGGACAAGAATGTTACCTAACAATTCAAATTGAAGTAGCAAATTGATAGAGATATTTCACTGTATTTCTTTTAATTTTTCCAATTTCACAAAGAAAGCTAGACGCTCATCGTTTTAGAAGATGGAATAAAATATTACGGCCTTTTTCCTTTCCATATACTCAATCCAAAGTTTATGAATTTAAGTAACAAATGCTTAACAACCAAAACAAGGAACAAAGAAGTATGTCCAATGAACGATGTTTTATTAATATTGTCAACATCGCGATGTCTACTGTGTCGTGTCATTATTGTGTTTACATTGAATCGTATTTATACCTAGTGTTTACATTGTTTACATAGTAACATTGCGATGATTACAATTACGAGTCAACATCATGTTTATAGTGAATACAAAGTCTATTCATTCGTGTTAACATCGTTCACATCGTAGACATCGCGATGTTGACAATAGCGAGTCAACACCGTGTTTATTTTGTATACCGAGTCTTTACGTTTGTGTATACATCGTGCACATCGTCGACATCGCGACGTTGACAATATTTAGTCAACATCGTGTTTATATTGTATACCGAGTCCCTACCTTTCTGTTTACATCGTTTACATCGTAGATGTCGCGATGTTAACAATATCGTGTCATCATCGTGTTTATATTGTGTACTGAGTCTTTACATTTGTGTTTATATCGTTCACATCCTCAACATCGCGATGATGAAAATAGTGTGTCATCATCGTGTTTTTATTGTTTACCGATTCACTACCTTTGTGTTAGTCCTCTAGATAAGCTTATGTTAATGACACTACCTTCAATAATGATTAATTCAATAGTTTAAATTATAATAATTTTGTTTATTATGTTATACTTATGAATTTGATTGTGTTAATTTGCTAGTTATCTGTAAAAGTTTTGTGCATAAGAAACTTAAAAAAAAAAAAAAAAAGCTTTTAAAAAAGGAAATTCGTTTAATTAAAATACTCATATTCATGAGATAGTTATGTTCGTCGGGCATTTTTACCACCATATTATTGCCAGAAATGATAAATTTTTGTTTACACTTTGATATAATTGTTTGATAATTAAAAAAATAACGAGTCGTCTTTAATTGGCAATAACTCCTATATTTAGTCACAAATGTACACGATGTAAAGACGATATCGTTAATACATTGTAAATATCTCGATGTTAACAATTTAAACGATGTAAACAGTATACAAGAGTTCATACAATATAAATGATGTTGACACGATATGATTAACACTGCAATGTAAACGATGTAAACACGATATTGATAATACATTGTATACATCGCGATGTTAACTATATCAACGATGTAAACAGTATATTAGATTTGTTAAAATGTTTACAATGTTGACACGATTTCGTGTAAATACTGTTAATATTGCTATGTAAACACGATACGGTTACTACATTGTAAACATCGCAATGTGAACAATGTCAACGATGTAAACAGTATATAGGAGTTCTTACAATGTAAACGACGTTAATACAATATCGTGTAAACATTGTTAATATCGTGATGTAAACGATGTAAACATTAAATCGTTACTCCGTTGTAAACATCGATGTTAACTATGTCAACGATGTAAACAGTATATTATGTTAACGATGTTGACACAATATCGTGTTAACATTGTTAAAATCTCTATGTAAACTATGTAAACAAGATATCGTAACTACATTGTATACATCGCGATGCTAACGATGTCAACAATGTAAACAGTATATAAGAGTTCTTACAATGTTAACGATGTTGACTCGGTATCGTGTAAACATTGTAAATATCACGATGTCGACAATATTGTTTTATATTGTGGACTGGACATAGATGGGAACAATACCATTGAGGTAAGTTTATCAGACATACAACCAAACATTTCTCAAGTCTTTATACTACGAGTAATAGTCATATGCGATCGTGTCTATTTTTGAGACGACCCCTTACATCAAACCTGTCAGCGTCAAGTGAAGACATTTATTGAAAAGGTCTATTAAAAATGGTTTCATTGTGAGTGAAATGCTTATATTAGATTCATGACCTCCTCTGTAGGCTTTGCATTTTTGAATAAGTCTTAATGATTTTAATGGTTTATTACATTTTTTAGATAATACATGACATAACAGTAAATGGTTGGAATTGTTAACGTTTCCTTATTGTGAGTATGTATGTAGAACATATAATCTTTGAGAAAGGAATTATCTTTTTTGTGTATTTACAGTTCAAAAGCAACGCATTTAAAAATATAAGCTACCATTACATTTTATTTCACAGCTACAATTATAATGCTCCTCTTTTCATCAAATATTACTTATATATAGCGAAGTTATCGTATATGTTTTTTTTAAAGGAATGATTGTCCATTTGTATGGTTCAATAGGACAATTAACCAAAATGTAAATGTTCTTTTAAAATGCAAAGAAATATTCTGCAATTTATTTGATATGCAAACGATAATTCAACTTTCGGTTTAAATTGTATCGAAGCATTTGAAAAGGCTATTATTAACAACCACGGATTCAATAATTTAAATTTTGGTAAGCATATAAGAAAACGATTTAGGACATTTGAATTATGAGATATTTTCTTTTTTTTGTAATGAATTTCTATTGTTTCAATTTTTTCAATTTTGAAGTCATTAATATTCTCCTAACATTAACGGTGCCTATTGTACTGCACCAGTAAACTGCACTGATTGATTTTGTTTTTCAAAATTTAATGTTTAATCAGTTGCAATCATAAATCATATCAAGATGATAATGTGCTTCGGGGCAGCTGCTACTGATTTATCAATTGTTTTGGTGTTTTGAACTGTAAGTTAACAATATAACTATCCTATTAAGAACATTGTTTTTACATACATTCTTCCCAATTAAGAAACATAATCCTACAGTTTCATTGTTCAAGATGACTTTGCTATATATTCTAAACTAAAAGATACACATGTTACAATTGTATTGACTTTTGGGTTAAACCTCTATCCTTAATGAGTTTATATTTGTAACATATCATAAAGGGTATATCATCAAAGGATGATAGGCTTAACTTAATGTAAAGCTATGATGTTCTAAATCGGATTTTTTTGTCTTTAAACAAATAAAAAAAATATAATAAAATTTAACAGAAGTCATCTCCTACCAGGAATGTCAACAAAATATTCTCAATGTATCGTATCTCGCAAAGTATTTTTAATTTGTTCTTGAAGCTCTGAGTCTATTAATAATGAATTTAATAGATTTGGCTAATTTATCATTTTTCGCGTACGATTTTTTATTTATGTAACAGGTTTGATGATAATCACATGCATTCACCCTTTTGTTTTACTTTTAGCCACAGTGGCCAAGTTGCTTTATTTTGCATGGGTGGCATAAGTTGGCACACATTGTTTAGTAGGAACATAATGATGATTGCGGCAAAGTGTGGTCCCAATTGCGCTGTTGAATTCAGAGGATTTTTCCCAAACGAAAACGACGTAGGACGTCAATTTATGGCAATACCTCATCTTGCCCTTTTCACCTGGGCTACCCTTTAACACTCTGGATTATTAAGAAACAATATGTCGTTTTGATATCTTCAGGTGATGTTGACATAAAACAGCTACGTTGTGTTTCTTTTTGGGTCTTTAAGCTAAGCCATAATCTTTATCAAAAATATTATGTATCCTTTATCTTAATTTTAATAATTACTACAAAGATAATCATGTAAGAAAAAAATCAAGATTTATTTTTTCCAACACAAATAGCTGATTATTGTCGTCAGACACTGTAGCAACTTTCGATTGTTTCGTTTTTGCCATTGTACTGTCTGATGGTAGATTCTAGAGAAATACATACAGTAATACATATTAACTACGCTTTCCTGTCGTAATATCAGATTATTTCATGGTATTTTTCATATCATATATATTATCAGTCCAAGGTTCAATATCAGCCCTCGAGCCTTCGGCTCTTGGACTGATATTGAACCTAGGGCTGATAATACATCTGATATGAAAAATGACATATTATGATCATTTTATCATATGCTTCAACAATGGAGAAAAAATACCAGTTTAATATATCGATCCACTTAGTGCTTCTCAAGTTGAACTTCAAAAGTGAAAAGTTTACGGATGTCGGACGCCAAATGTAATACATCCGATATGAAATCTTTCTATCAAATGCTTCAACAGAGGAGAAAAACAACAGTATAATATATTTCTATATTGACGAT